CAGCATTTTTACAATGTTGCCGGCAATTAATTTAATTAAAGACCCTGTCCCAGATATAGCAGCATTTCATATCTCAGTGGTTTAATGGGAGCCTGGCCAGGGCAGGGGCTGGGTTGTGGGGGGGGAGGGCCGGGAGCAGCTGCCCCGCTCGCCACCGCCTGGCTCAGCCCGGCACACACAGGGCGGGGCAGTTGCAGCCCTGGACGAAGCCCAGAGGCGAGAGGGCAGCCGCCCAGGGACCTGCCGCTGGGAGACTCTGCCCTGACCACAGCCAGCACACGCACACCCGCGCGTGCACAGTCACGCCGTCACAACGGACTCTCCGCGGATTTTCTTATTTAACTCTCATGACTATTCTAGGAGCCAAAAATCTATTTTAAATCTCCAGCTTTCAGGCAATGACGCCGAGGCATGGAGGGCTGGAGTCAGCAGCGAGGGGTAGATACCTGCCCAGGCAGCCTGGCTGCAGGCACCCCACGCTCCTGACCAGGACACTGGCGGTCAGCCCGCGTGTGAGGGACGCAACGTGCCAGGTGCTGTGCGAGGCCCAGGCCGCACAGTGGTGACCGAGGTGGGCTCCAGTCCCCGCCCCATGGGGTGTCCGGCGGCCACAGCCCACACAGTGCCCCAGGATCACGCTCTCCTTCCTGGGTGCACACACCGAGCCCCCATGCGCACGCTGAGCACACCGCCGCCGCTCACTGTCCCCCAGGCTAAATTTGGCTGGGACGGCTGATGCCCTTACCAGGACGGCGCCCCTGCAGCCACTGGTCACCTGTCACCCTGTGACCCCATTCTCAGCAGCTGAGCCCACCTGGCCCCTCCTCTTACGGGGGCCGCAGGAAAAGCCGTCACAGGCCCCTGCTGCCCGCAGAGGCGGCCACGCATCCCTGCTCCCCTCTGCCTTCATCCATGCCGCCGCCTGGCTGTGCTCTTCCCACCCCCCGGGACCTTGCTTCCACGCCACCCCTATGCCAGCTGTCTGCCCACGGCCTCCCAACAAGGGCCCTTGGCTCTCCCTGCTGAGCTCCATGCCGACATGTCCCCCCTCTCTGGATATCCCCACGAACCCTATACCTGCGCCCAGGTCGGGCTCAGTAACTCCCACAAACCTGCGCCCAGGGTTGGCTTGGTGAGCGGGGCCACGCCCCCAAGGAGCTTCGGGGCGTCTCACGGCCTCCTTGCTCCCTGGACGTCCACTACTGCAGCCCCCCAGGGCCCCCACGCCTCCCCCACCCACCCCATCCTCTCCACGGCTCCCCAGCTCACTCAGCTCCCCCTCCCCAATGTGCCTTCCTGTGACCACCTGCTGGCTTCGGTGCCATTGTCAACTCTGCCGCCACAGCCATTTCTAGAAAGACAATCTGATCCCATGCTTCAACCCCCGCAAGCGTTTCCACTGACCGCCGGGCAAAGGTCGGCTCCACACACCCCCACGCCTGACACAGCAGCTCACCCCTGGGCACCCCCACGCCTGCAGCCGGCTCGGTGCGGCCCCTACCCTGCTCCCTGCTCGTGGGACCCTGCAGGGAACCCCACTGGTTCCCAATGCCCTGCCCCACCCCGTTAATTCATAATTCAAGGTGTCACCTCCTCCAGGTGCCCTCCCCAGTTCCTCCTCGCAGGGGACGCGCGGCTTGCTCGGCCGGCTCTCTGGCTGGGGCCGTTGTCTGGCTGACGTGGGCTGGCTGTGTGGGGCCGGCTGGGGGTGGGGCTGGGGGTGGGCGCGTCCTCCTCCCTCAGACTGTGCCCCATCGAGTGCTCGCAGCAGGCCTGGGCCCTTCCTCAGCAGCATCCCGCTCGGGGCCTGGCGAGCTGGGGGACAGCGACTATGGTGGAGTTGAAGTGTCCCCACCCCAACTCTCTGCGAGCTCCAGGGGCAGGCACTGTGTCATTTCTGTCCCTGTCAGCAACGGGCCCACAGCACACACTCACTGGGGGAAGGAGGCTGAGACCTCAGCTGGAATCCGGAGACTGGGTCTCCAGCCCCATCCCTCTGCCTCTTCCTGGCTGTGTGGCTTTGGGCGAGTCCTGTCCCCTCTGGGCCTCAGAAGTTGGGGGTGGCAAACTCAGGTGCCCTTAGGGGCTGGGTGGCGGCCGAGAAAAGTGGAGAGTAAGATGCTGTCCAAAGGCCGGCCAAGAGGTGCCAGATTTTTTCCTTTCAGGAGAAGCTAGAAATCCATTTTTACGTGAAACTTCCTGTTTAAAATGTTGACAACTAATTTAAGCATTTAAACGCTGTGTGGGCCAAACAAGTTGGCAGGCCAAAGCCAGACTGGACAGCGTCCAAGGTCTCCTCTGACTTACAGGTCCCAGGACTGGGGTCACACACAGCAGGGCGAAGCTCCGGCCTCCGCGCCCTGCCCACTCCTCCCAGCCTTGCCTGCTCCCCTCCTCCCTCCTCCCCAGGAACCCCCTCATCACAACCTCCAGGGGGAAGTCCCCTGGCCTCTGGCAGAGGCCGGAGGGGGCCGTCCGCCCATCACCCAGGTGGTCGGCGTTTAGTTGTCAGCACAAGCCACCCCTCGGCTGGCACCTGGGGGTCTTGGAAAGAGCGTCCCGGCGTGAGAAGTGGTGGCACCAGGAGAAGGGGACAGACGAGGCCCGTCTGGCCTTGCCTGCCTGCGGCTGGGGCCTGAGGCCCTGGCCCGGGACAGGCTGCTGGAGACAGGGACGCGGGCAGGTAGGGCTGTGTGTGGTGGGGCAGGCGCTCCACAGGGGACACCCTGCAATGACCCCCTGCATGTGGGCGGGCAGGAGCCCAGGCCTGGCTGTGGCCTTCCAGCTGGGAAGGGGGTGTTTAGCTGCACCCAAAACACCCCGACAAGACAGTAATGAGCCCTCACCCCATTCTAATTACCCACTGTCCAAATAATTACTAGCTTGTTTATTTCACTTAATGGCAGCCATATTTTTTCTCCTGATATTGATTTCATGTTTTCCCGGCTTGTTCATTATCTTTCCTGCCCCCTTAATGGGCTCTGAGGTCTTGCGGTGGAGGAGACAGGGCGGGGGGCCGGGGCGGCGAGGGAACACGGAGGAAAGAGAGGTGGCCGTGGCCACGCTGTGCAGCCTGAGCTCGGATCCCAGGGCCCCAGGGCCCTGCGTACCCACTCACCCTCGACGCCTTCAGGGCGGGGTGTTTTAAAGTGGATAAAAGGAGGGAGAGGGCAGCAGAGGAGAGAGAAGCTCGTGTCCCCTGCCCCCAAAGGGCCCCTAAAGGGACAGGCAGATGCAGAAAGGTGTGAGGGAGGAGGGATGAGGGAGGGCCACCCCGGAGACCAGCTCGGGGGAGGCTGCCCTGTGGGGGCTGCTGCTTGGCTGGGGCTCAGGAGGGGCCTCCTTGTCCCCAGGTCCCCAGGGCTGGCGGGCAGGGAGCAGGAGCCTCCACCCTCAGAAGTCCAGACCCTCCCTGGGCCTGACCCTCACCCTTGGCCTCTGCCGCACCCGCCTGCCATTGCCATGGAAACGTGGGCGCTGCTGCGCTGCCCCCCGGGCAGTGGAAGGGCAGCTCCTCCGCTCTGCAGGGGCAGCAAGGAGAGATGGGGACAAAGAGGGAAGGAAGGGCCAGGGTCTCTTTGGGCAAACATTTAGAGCTTCTTGAAGGGGTCATTAGCTCTTAATAAATCATTAATAATTGCATGAATATTTAAATCTTAATAAAAAAAATACAGTGGGCCCAGTGAGTCTCTGCGTGGGTATTTATTGCTATTGGGCTGGAATCTATAAAAGTTGGTATCGGTCTGACTGAACTGCTGTTATCGCCACAGCTAAATGGGTAATTGGGAGTGAGAGACGCTATCAGCGGATATAAATTACACACAGTAAACCGAGGGCATTAACTGAGGGTTTATTATCAATTATCTCTGCGCTTGTTCCCCTTAAAACGAACTTTAAGTGTATTAACGAGAAACTTACAGGTTTTAACGAATCGAGGGAAGTGAAGGCTGCTGAGGCCCCCGCCTCAGCCCGTTTCCCGGTGGGGGCCCCACCAGGGAGGCCCTGGAGGAGGGCTCACGGGTCAGTGGGCAGGCCACGCACACCAGCGGTCCTGCCTGGGCCAGCGGCGACCACGGCCGGCCCTGAGGCCCGCCCTGACCCTCTCCTGAAGCCCCACCCCAGACGGGTGCGGGGTGGCACTGGGCATCCCGGCTGCTCTGTGTGGGCGGTCAGCCGAGCCCGACTTCAGCAGGACGTGGACAAGGGAGACCCTCATCTCCCCCACACCAGAACGTGGGTGCTGCTGTCAGAGCGGCACACGGAGTGGGGGCTGAGCGGGGTGGGCGGCTGGGTGGGGGGAATGGCTCGCCCCGGAAAAGCCCCGAGCAGGCAGAGCGTTTGCAGAGCGGCTGCATCCACCCCCTGCCAGGATGCACACTCAGCCCACAGGCCAGCTCGCTGCAAGGTCAGCACGACCTCCTTCTGGGCCAGTTCGCTCCCCAGCAGCCTCGGCTCCCTCTGCGTGGCCTGTCAAAAAGGCTGTGTCCGTGTGACCTCGCGTCCTCAGCTTCTTCTGAGAGGCCTGGAGCTGTGGCACCTCTCTCAGGAGCTTGCTCCCCTGCGGGAGTCAGAGGGGGCTCAGAGTCAGAGCAGGAAGTCCCGGGTGTGCACTCGGACTGCCAGGGAGCTGCTGGCGGCAGTGAGCGCACGGCGGGGCCCGGTCTGAGGCGTCCAGGAGGGCTTCCTGGAGGCCAGGTTATCAAGCCGCACAAAATGCCTTGGCGGCCAAGGTCTCCTCGGAGGCCCGACTCTCCCCCACCACTGACAGGAAGCCCGCTGGTTTGACTCTCCGCTGCTCCCCAGGGAGGTCCTGGCTATCCCTTGCCCCCGGGCTCTAGTTCTGTGCTTCACCCGGTTCCTGCTCAGCTCTTGCAGTCTGGCTTTCGCCTCTTGCTCTTCAAGGAAACCCTTCCTCCCATGTGCAAGGACCTCTCCCCCTGATTCAAGACCCCCGCCCTCAGGGTTCTGCAGGGGCTTCTCCCTGCCTGCTGTCCTCTGACCTGCTGTTTCCTGGCCCTGGGGGAACAGCAGGCTTCCACGAGAACCTGGGGCCGAAGCCTCCCAGATCCCCCTGCAGGACCTCAGGGCCCGTCCCCGCAGGACGCTTCCTCTCAGCTCAGCCACGTGGGCGCCCCGAATGGTCAGCTCCCCCTGCAGGTGGCACAGTCCTGCCATGCTGGCACCTGCTGCGCCTGCCTCTGCTGCCCTTGCTTTTCCTCTCCCCTCAGGTGTCGCAGGCCACTGTCCTCTCCACTCGCCGTCTCGCATCCAGCTTTCCGTCTGCGGAGACACTCGCGCTAGCCGGGGCCTGAGGTTAGCGACAGTTTTTATTTTAGAAGAGCTTCGCTCCTGCAAACACAGCCCTGTTCGCGCAGCCCCCTCCAGCCCTCCATGTGGTTCCCACGCCTCTGGGCCCCTCTGCCTCCCTGCTGCCTCCTGCTTGTAAATAATCCTGTCCTCTGTGCCTATAATTAGCCCTAAGTAGAATAATTCATAACAAACTTTATTCCTCCTGGCATCTTTCTTGCTAACATGCTGCTGAGAGCCTCGCAGGATCAGCAGGAGGGAAACCAGGCTCAGGAAACAGCCGAGCGCCCCGCCCCCAACCCCCACGTGTGTTCCTCTCCCGCCTGCGGGCACTGTGCAAGCCAGAAGACCCTTCACATCCTGCTCTGGCAAAGTGCGTGGAGGGCAGGTGCCAGGGTGTGGCCGGGGGGTGAATGACCAACCCAGAGACCGTTGTCATGACAGTGACAATCACAACAAAAATATGGCAGCTCATGCATAGTGTTTACTATGTCTGACTCTGCCTGTTTTTTTCAATCCTCACCCGAGGACATGTTTCCACTGATTCGAGAGACAGAGAGATATGAAAGAGAAACATCTATCAGTTTCCTCCTATATGTGCCCTCACTGGGGATCAAACCTGCAACCTGGGCATATGCCCTGACTGGGAATCGAACTGGCAACATTTCGGTATGCGGAGTGATGCTCCAGCCAACTGAGCCACAGGGCCAGGGGGGCTCTGCTTCTTAAAAATCAGGATTGGTTTGGGGTTTTTTTACCAAATAAAATAAAACTGAGCCCCTTTAAATCTGTAGTTTGATGAGTTTCAACCAACGCCATCACTACCACAATCAACATAAAGAATAGTTCTGTCCTCCAGAAACACCCCCTCGAGCCCTGACCATCAAGCCCTTCTCCTGCCCCAGCCGCCACCAGCCCTTCTGAGGCCGTCGCTTTGCCTCCCTAGAAAGTCCCAGAAATGAAGTCGTCCAGCGGGCGGTAGGGTGCGCCCGGCCGCTTTCACCCTGTGCCACGCACCCGAGGGTCATCGACACAGTGGCCCGGGCCGGGAGCTGGGCCCTTGTTCCTGTGGAGCAGCGTCCCTCGCGCCGCGGCTCATCCGGCCGCTCGCCAGCGCGCATGCAGGTTCTGGGCACTGCGCCGCCGCTGAGAACGTCCCCACGCCGGCCTCGGGCGGGCACGTCTCCACTCCTCGTGGGCATGGGACGGCGAGGGCATGTGGCGAGCATGCATTTGACTTGATTAGGAATTCTTTGTTTCATGCCCTGTATATATTTGTATATGACATCTCAGCTTTATGAGTCAGGTACTATCGTTCTCATCTTTCAGGTGACAAATGGAGGCTCAGAGAGTGGAAGCAACTTGCCCAAGGTCACACGACTCGACGTGGCAGGGCCAGCAGCCTGGCTCCAGGCTCTGTGTTCTAAGCCCCGGCTGTGCTGCCGCTCAGCCCCGGGCGCAGCTCAGGAGCCCCGGCCCAGGAGCTGACGGCTGGAGTCTGAGTGACAGCCCACCTCTGGCGAGCTGTGTGCCCACACAGGTGCCGCAGACTCTGACGCACCGCTGTCCGCAAACGGCACCCCCGATCGCCTGCATCACGGAGCAGCCCGGGGCTCGGAGGAAACACCCACCCTGGAGCAGACGTTTGGTGCTCCCCGCAACTTCACTGTGCGACCATCACCACGCTGTCCTGACCCCAGGACCGCACAGGTTTAGCAGAAGAGACCAGAATGGTTCCTGGAGCTCCCATCGCCCGCCGTGGCTCTCAACGCACGACCGAGTCACACTGCGCCTGTTCGAGGCCTCTGCCGTCTCCGCTATAGACTGAATGTCTGTGTCCCTCCCTCCAAATTCCTACGCTGAAGTCCAAACCCCCAAGGTGATGGTTTTAGGAGGTGGGGCCTTTGGGAGGCGACTAGGTCATGAGGGTGCAGCCCTCAAGAACGGGACTAGTGCCCTTATAACAGGGACCCCAGAGAGCTCCCTCACCCCCCACCACTGAGGACATGGAGAAAAGACGGCTGCCTGCGAACCAGGAAGCAGGCTCTCACCAGACACCCAATCTGCAGGCGCCTCGATCTAGGGCTTCCCGGCCTCCAGAACTGTGAGAGATATGGTAAATGCCTGTCTATAAGACACCAAATCTGTGGTGCCTTTGTCGTGGCAGCACAAATGGACTGAGGCGCCCCCTGTCTGGAGGATGCAGTTTCCCACGAGGAAACCAAAGCTCAGAGGCCCAGGTGCGGGATCAGAGGGCGGCCCCCCTCCCCACCCCGGCTGCCCAGGGGCAGTGGGGGAAGTGGGAGCGTCTCCCAGCCCCACCCCCACCTCCATAAGGTCATCAGCGTGGGGCCTCCAGCTGTCTGGTCCTGTCTGGTCCACTGCAGACGGAAGTCAGCCTGGACAGGCTAAACCCCCTGGGTGAGTGATTTAGCAGGTGGTTGGCAGGGAGGCCTGGGGCCCGGCTGGGGAGAAGCCTCCCTCCTGTCCTGCTCCCTCCAGGAAGTGTTCACAGGGCTCAGGGGGACAGAGAACCCCCACTTGCCCCTCACGTGAGCGCTCAGCCCCCTGAGCTCTGCTGCAGACCAGGGCTCTTGGACTGGCCGAGGGGCCCCGTCACACAGCGGGGGAGGTCGGGAGGTGGGGTTGCCCTGGGGCTGAGCCTCACCCTCCGTTAGAACAGGGCCCAGAAGGGAAGGTGCCCCCAAGTGCCCCCGTGCTCACTCAGGCTCAGCCCCGCCTCCGTGCACATCCTCTGTCCCCCTGTCACCTGCAGGCCGGCCCTGCCAGGGCAGCTTCAGGGGCAAAGACTCAACCCACAGGCTGGGCAGGCCCGCACCCTCTCTGGGGGCAACGGCAGGGGGCAGCCAGGGCCATGTGGGTCTGGGCAGGGGGACGGCCCCGAGCCCGCCCGGCGGTCCAGCCCTCCTGGGCTGCCTGCAGCTCAGCGCGGCGCTCGCCCGTCCCCCTGAGCCAATGAGACAGCACCCACCCGTCACCCAGCTCCGGTGCAGGGGCCCTGGGAGGCACGTCCCCTCCCCCCTCACTGCCTGCAAACAGACTGGCGAGGTGACAGGAGGGAGAAGAGCCAGGATGAGGGCAGGCAGACAGGGCTCCCCGGGGGGAGGGAGTGTGGGGCGCTGTAGGGAGGCCAGGAGCCTTTGAGAAGAGCTTTGACGGTGGCACAGGGTTATAACTAGGCAGGATGGCAGGCGACCAGCAGGCGAAAAGTCACAGAAGCAGAAAATGAAAGCGCACACTCAGTGAGTGGACATCTGTTGGGGATCCCCTGTCCTTCCATGTTTAGTTGTGTGATTGGATGGACATGACCCCACCCCCCAGCTCCAGGAGTGGGCCCCGATTGGCTTAAACCAACTGTACGTCTTGTCCTGGCTGTGTGGTTGGTTTGGGAGAGGCATGGGAGCCGCTCCCCTGAAGGGTGAGGGGTGAAGGTGTGGGGGCTGGGCTGCACAGCCATCTCGTTTCCAGGACCAGGCGGCGGTGGCGTTGCCAGGGGCTGCCGTGAAGGGACCCAGGACGAGGCCAGCACCGCAGAAGGCAGAGCAGAGGCACGGAGAGAGCAGGCCAGGGCGACAGCGCTGCGGCTGGTGGGTCAAGCCTCGCCTGACGTCAGCCACACCGCTGGGCTTTCCGGTTCCAGTCAGTAACATCCACTGACTGTTTAAGTCTCTTTGAGTTGAGTGTTCTGTCATGGTACAACCAAAATATTCTTAACTGAGAATCCAGTTTGGCTGGAGTGTAAGAGACTGAGGAGAGAAGTAAGAAACTAGACCTGGCAGGATGGAGCAGGAACCCCTTCCCGAAGGCCTTGCATGGCGGGCACTGCTACTTCCGTGCGTGGGCACGCGGGCAGCATGCCCGGCTGGTCAGCAGGGGCATGCCCGGATCACACCAGGGTCCCAAAATACCATCGGAACTGGCCTCGCCAGTCCCCGCGCCCTACCCCTCCAGCTCCTTCGTGTGAGCTGAGCAGCAGAAGCAGATACGCAAAGAAGCGTAATCGGTTTGCCCTCCGCGGGCCCGCCCGGCTACCTCGCCTGCAGTAAGCTCTGGGGATGTTAGTGGAAGCCTGTCGGAGGGAGTCCACGCCCCCGAGAATGGAGGCTCCCAGTGTCTAAAACAGGGCCTGGCACAGAGGAGGCAGGTGCTCAATAAATCTCGGCGAACGGAAAAATCTCGGAGGAGGCGAGCGCGGGGGGGGGGGGGAGATGGTATCTCCCCGGGGGCGATGGCGGAGGCGCAGCCCCGGAAACCGGCTGCGCCGCTGAGCGGAGCTGTCCGTTGTGCTGAAAGCGCGCCCGCCGCGTCCCGGGCCGCTCTCCGCGGTGCTGAAACAGCTCCCGGGAAGCTGCGCAGCCCATCCGCCGAGACGCGGAAAGGGCTCTAGGCACCTCAGCAACCACGGTTGGGGAGCAGACTCTTCTTCTGCCTCTTCTGCTAATTCCAGTCCCCCTGGACCTTCTTCCCGAGACAGATAACCTGGCACAGACCCGAGCGGTCCTGGTACCCGGTGGTGACCCTGTCTCCCGTGTGAATGAGTCCATCCTCAGGTGCCCAACTCTCCAGGGTTGTGGGTCTCCGAGGGCCGTGAACGTCGGCCTGGATTCAGCCAGCCTCTGCTGGGCCCTGGGCGAGGCAGCCAGTCAAAGACGGGCTCTGGGCAGGCAGCCGGGGAGGAGGGCTGCATGCCAGCAGCATTAACTGGAGGGCCTGGAAGGAGCTCCCAGCCCTCATCGGCCCGCAGGCACCGCCAGGCAAGGCGCCTGTGCTGGAAGACAGCGCACAGAGAGAGGGGTGCTGCTCGGTGGTGCCGGGTGAGCTGGAGTAGGCTCCCCACTGTGAAGGCG